CAGAGCATAGGCTTGGAGCTGCCTAGGACATAATCCCTATGCCTTAGGGGGCATTTTTTTTTCTGTATGTAAATAAATCCATTAAAAGACAAACAAAAGTAAAATCAACTGAAGAGGTGGCTCGGTAGTTAAGAGTAGGTGTTGCTCTTGCAGAGGACTGGAGTTCCATTCCCAGCGCCCACATTAGGCATCTCACAACTGCCTGTAATTCCAATTCTAGCTCCTGGGGTGAAGGACCAACACTGTGTTGTGACTACGGGGAGTCTGAAAGGTTTCAGAACACAATTGTGTAGAATACAAAGGGATGTTCCTTTGTTTTGTTTTGTTTTTAATTTAAAATTGCATTTATTTATTTATTTGTGTGTGTGTGTGTGTGCGTGTGTACATGCATCATGGTAGGTGTGTGGAAGCCAGGGGACAACTTTTGAGAATCAGTTCTCTCCTACTAAGTGGGTGCCAGGGATTGAATCAGATCACTGGATTTGGCGGCAGGTGCCTTTATCCACTGAGCCATCTTGCCAGCCCCCAGAGGGATGTTTCAATAGTAGGGTGCTAAACCTGGACCAGAGCAGGAGGAACTGAAGTTACAGGAGATGAGGGCCTGTGATAATGGACAAAATACCTGAAAGAGAAGACTCACAGGTCCTTGGAAAAACTGAGTGTTATGCATGCATGTAAGTGCACCTGTGTCATGCAATGCCCATGGAGGACAGAAGAAGGCGTTGGATTCCCTGGAACTGGAGTTACAGATGGTTGTTAGCTCCATGTGGGTGCTGGGATTCAAACTCAGGTCTTGTGCAAGAACAGCCAGTGTTCTTAACTCTGGGCCATCTCTCCAACCCCATCATACCATTTTAAAAAGAGGGAAAGAAGAAAAAAAAAATGAGGCAGTCACATAAAAGATGTCCATATTTAAGAATTCAGAAGAAGAAGTAGAGCTAGTTCATTGTTACAGGGGCACATAGTTAACCAAAATAACAGGATCAGGCAGAGCAGGTCAGGGAAGTCAGAAGGTAACTGAGTCAAGAAGGACAGAGATTGACCAAATATGTCATAAAGGCCAAGAAAGGCCAAGGAACCAGAGGACTGCAAAGGCCATTGGACAAACAATAAATCTATCAAGCGTCTGCTCTAAATGCAGGAGGCGTGCTTACCAGTGGTCAAGTCTGAGTCTTGAATGGCTTGTTCTTTCTTTTCATCAATCTCTGGCCTACTGGAGTTTTCTATCATCGTGACTAAAGTGAAAGAAAGCAAGACATGATAGATGTAGACCTCAAATACATGTGACTCATTCTGTAACTGCCGCTGTTTGACTGTTTGTCCCCTTGAGACCTCACATTGGCAGACACTTACCATGTAATGCTGTTGGGATGTGGGGCCTTTAACAGGAGTTCAGTCCCAGAAGGCGCCACCTTTGCGAATGGACTAATGCCACTGTAAGCTCCTTTTAAGGGGGTGGCTTTGCCCTTGCTCTCTCTGCAGTTCTCCTGTTATAGCAAAAAGGTCCTTTCTGGTTGTGTCTCCTTGATATTGGACCTCCCAGCCTCCAAAATTGTAAGCCCATAAATTTCTGTTCATTGTGAATGAGCCTGTGCTAGTGTTCTAGTGTTCTGTTGTAGTGGCACTAAGATGATAATTTTGCAGATGATGACAGACACACAGCTTTGGAAACCAAGTGAAATGGCCCTTGTTTAGAAAAGCAATGAGCTCATTTTAAAATTTCCTATTTTAAATGTATTTATTTACTTATTTTTATTTTTGTGTCCATGAGTGTTTCACCTACATGTATGTAAAGCACACCTGTGTGTGCAATGCCCACGGGGGCCAAAAGAGGTTGTCAGATTCCCTTGGATCTGGAGCGATTAGCAGTTACTAGCCATAATGTGGGTGCTAGGAACTGAACCCTGGAACTCTGCAAGAGCAGCCAGTGTTTTTAATTCCCTAGCCATCTCGCTAGCCCCTAAATTTCTTACTTTAAAATACTTTTATTTTCTCCTTCAATTAGTACACAATAACCATACACAGTTATCTGGTATAGAATAATGTCTGTGTGTGTCATAATCAAAACAGGGTCATCAGCATCTCTGTCTTTTTATTGTTTTTGTGTGTTTAGAAAAATTAAGCTCTTCTCTTTTAGTTGTTCATAAAAAATGGGACTAGAGTGATGGCTCAGTGTGTAAAAGCTCAAGCACCACAAGCCTGACAACTCAAGTTTCTATCCTTGGAACCTATGGAAAAAGTGGGATGTAGCAGCTTGTATCTATAATCCCAGCTCTCCTATAAGAGATGGGAGAGGCAGGGACTGGAGAGATGGCTCGGTGGTTAAGAGCACTGTCTGCTCTTGCAGAGGACCTAGGTTCAATTCCCAGCATTCACATGGTGGCTCACAGCCATCTGTAACTCTGGTTTCAAGGGATCCAAAGCCCTCTTCTGACCTCCATGGGCATCGCATGGCACGGGTGCACTTACATACAGGCAGGCAATACACTCATACACATAAAATAAAAATAATAAATAAAATTTTAAAAGAGATAGGAGAGAAAGAGACAGAAGAATTGCCCGAAAGCTTGTGGGCCCGCCAGCTTGGAGTGCAAACAGCAGCAACAGGAGAGACCCTGGCTGAAAAGGTAGAAGGAGAGAACAACTCCCCAAAGTAGTCCTTTGACCATCACATGTACACCATGGTACACATATCCACATTCACACATGACACCTCCATCCACAATAAATGAATGAATAAATAAATGTAATGAGTTATCCTCTCTGTGTGTGATGTATATGCGTCTGTGTGCATGTGTGTCTGTGTGCATACACATATGGAAGTCAGTCCTCCCTGTGTGTGATGCATATGTGTCTGTGTGCATGTGTGTCTGTGTGCATACACATATGGAAGTCAATCAGAGGTCAATACTGGGTAACCTCCATTGGTCTCCACATTAGTTTTTGAGACAGGGTTTCTGTCACTGAATCTGCTAGACAGGCTGTCCAGTGAACCCTGGGATTCTCCCTTGTCTCTGCCTCCCTGAGGCTGAGATTACAGATTCGTACTGTGGGCTTTTATGTGGATACTTGGGATCTGAACTTGAGTCCTTATGCTTATACAGTAAGCACTTTACTCACTGGGCATCTCCCCAGGCCTGTGATGAGTTATTCTAAGTTATGGCCACTCTACTGTGCTGCAGATCACTAGAACTTATTCCTTCTCTTTAACTGTACTTTGGTGCCCATTCCAGCCCCTCTATTCCCTCCTTCTCCCATCTTCTTTTAATAATAGTCAGAATTCCACTTGATTTTATTTTTAGATTTGCTTTATTAAAAAATTTAAATACAGGGTCTCCCTGTTGCCCCAGCTGGCCTGGAACTTACTAGGAAGACCAGACTGGCCTTGATCTCTCAGAGATCCACCTGCCTCTGCCTCCTGAAAGCAGGGATTAAAAGTATGCACCACCATGCCCATTTTAGATTAACTTTTTAAGCTCCAAAATATGAGAGAAAAAAAAAAGCTTACATCATTTGTCTTCCTGTGTCTGGTTTATTTTGCTTAACTTGCCAGTTTCTTGCAAAAGTAGTCGCAAATGGCCCACTTCCCTTTGCCTTAATTATGAGGCAAACTTTTATTGAACACTTAGTGTGCACCAGGCAATGTAGGAACTTGGTGTTTGTTATTTCTCAACTTAGCTCTGAGAGAACAGAGGTTTTGACCAGTTAGTAAAAGACCTAACATCCTGGAGCAATTAGTCAGCAAAGTCAACAAGAAACTTGTTTCTTTTCTGACTCTGAACCTAAAACCCAAGTCTTTATCCCATGCTTCCTTCCTGAGTTAATACCATTAGGGAAAAGGCCTGCAGGGTACTACACACTGAGGAATGTCATCTGAGCTTTATGGAGACAAACTTAAAATCTGGAAAGACAAAAGGCAATGCTTTTTGGTTGAACTAGACAGTTGTCATTCAAACATCCAATGCCCCTCCTTTAGAAATAGGATGTATTATCTTGCTTTTGTTAGATAACATTTTTGTTGCTTATCTTTCCAATTCCCTTTTTCTCTCCTGCCGCCCCCCCCCCTTTTTAAAGCCCATTGCACAGCGCCACTATGTGGCCCCAAAGGGAATAAAGTCTCTAGTTCCTCTATTGAAAACGGCATTATTATTAACAGTAATAACGTTGCAGAAATTGAAAGCTGAAAGGAATTTTAGAGACCATGCCTCCTAAATCTTATGTTATGTATGAAAATGCGGAGCAGAAAATTGAGTTGTTCAGTAGTAGTGCCAAGCAATTTAAAAGCAACTAGATTCTAAACATGCTTAAAGATATGGATTATTAAAGCAAGGGATATAGCTGCCCCACTTCATAATATTTTCAATTTCAGTCGCTCTTCAAAAACCTGTGCAGTACATATTGTATTTATCAGTGCTTAAAAACCCCAAACATTTGGTTTTCAACATGATTCAGGATATACATTTCTAAAACTGTGATCTGATACTCAGAACTGTGAACATGATAACAGCCCAAAGGCACTTACCCTATCAAATGGGATTATAGTAGAGAACATTCAGGAAGGTACAGCTTCCTGAAGGAGGCTAGCTATCTAGCTCAAAATACAAAGATGTTCATTCATTCATTCATCCATTCTGTATTTTCTGAGCACCTGCTATTGCCAGATACCATGCTACAAAAATGCAGTTAAATAAAATAAATAGTTCCTCCAATTTAACTAATGGATTCATTGTCTAAAATACCAGACTTTCCAAATTCTTCTTAGAGCTCAAGCCTGTAAAAAAAAAATGACCCAAGTTTTTGACTGCCAAGTAAGTGATATTCCTTCAAATGTGAGTTCCTTATTCACTGAAAGCTCTACGTAACCAGTTCCTGCTTCCTGTGTCTCTCTTGGTATGAAGTCTTGTGTTTGCTCTGTTGTAGATGGAAAACAAAAAAGGAATTCCCTCCCAAATGGCTTAAGCTTTGTCCTTCACCTAAGAGGAAATTCACACACCACAATGGGCTGTATGCATGTGTGAGTATGTGTGCACCTCTATATGTATGTGCTCATGTGCCTCAAATCAAATAGCACTGAGTGGATAGGGCACCATGACTAGGTGCCCACTAGGTGGGAAATCTTGATGTGGATCTAGCCTAGCACACCACAAAGCTGGAGTCAGTTGAAGGGGGTGTCTGTGTGATCTTATTATAAATGAAAATTAGGGGCTGTGGAGATGGTTCAGTAGGTAAAGTACTTCTACACAAGCATGAGGACCTGAGTTCCTTTCTCCACAGCTCACCTTCTCCATAGCAGCACATGCCTGAAATCCCAGCACTGGGAGGCAGAGACAGGCTGATCCCAGGGGCTCACTGACCAGTCAGTCTAGCTGAAATGGTGAGCTCTGGGTTCAGTGAGAGACATTGGCTCAAAAGAAAATAAGGAGGAAAAGCAATGAGGAAAGATGTTCTGATGTCAACCTCTGGCCTCTACACATACATGCATAGGGTGAGGGCACCCTCACCCACCCACATCCAAGATATACATACATGCAATACACACACACACGCACACACACAAAAAAATTAAAAATTCCTTAAGTGTAGAATTAGAAATGTGCCCTTCCCAACCAGGTACGATTCTTTAGAAAAATTTCAGTGATTTTGAGACTTACCGGCTGTACTCATGGGCTGCTGGAGGTCTTGAGAGGAGAGAGAGCTTTTCTCAGGAACATCTGAAGCTGAAGCTGTTTCTTGATCAGCAACTAAGAAAGGGGAAAAACAAAATTCTGCGATGATGGACAGCAACCTTAGCCACATCGTGTTCACACTAATGGCATGCGTCTGGCTGCTGCCTGCCTGTGGAGGTTGTGCAGACCGCAGAACCGTGTACTCTGGGCTTCGAATCTGTTCCCTGCTGCTTGTCCGTCTGCTAGCCCACCTGGCTTGAGAGTGAAGCATGCCTCACCTCTGTGTGGAGGCATATTTGGCAGTAGTACGTATAGAGCATTTGTTATGTCTTTCTGCACACACCTGTCTATCAGTCCCTCTCTCTGTCCATCTTTCCATAATACAGTTCCATATCTGTCTACCTATTCCTCCAGCTGTAGATGGACCTGAATCCCAATGCTACTATTTGCTTGCTCTTGAGTGAACTGGACAAGGTGCCTAATTTACCCAATACTGCATGTTTTTTCTCATGTGAAATGAAAATAGCGACATTTAATTCTTTGAATATTGTGTGAGCATGAATAAGTTTGTTCATATACAGTGTTTAGTAAAAAGCACCATGCTTGCTAAATGTATTATATGATATAAAGAAATGCTTGTGGGTATTTACAGGGAGTCAGCTTAAGAAATTTCAATGTAAAAACAGTCCTACATGCAGGAAGTATGCAACAACTGTCCCTGTCAACATATAACATACAACAGGTGGGTAACATCCTCATGCAATTTATGCTGCTTCTCTGTATTCATTTAATCAAAGAATTTTTTGTGGTTTAATTTTTTTGATTTATTTATTTTTATTTTATGTGTATGAGTGTCTTGCCTGCATGTAGGTAAGGGCACCCGTGTTGTACAGAGCCTACAGAGGGCACTGGATTTCCTGGAACTGGAGTTAAGGATGGTTGTTAGCCACTATGTGGGTGTTGGGACTCAAACCCAGATCCTCTGGAAGAGAGCCAGTGCTCTTAACAGCTGAGTCATTTCTCCAGCCCCTGTGGTTTAAATTTTTGTCTTATTAATTGAGCATGTGTAGTTTCAAAAAAGGTATACACACATGTAGTTATAAAAAAGGTGCCTGAATTATAAGTTCAAAACTCTGAGGAAAAGAAGAAGAATGGAGAAAAAATTAGGGAATGATAACACAGAAGTTTCCCCTCACCCCTGGAGGATATAAGTTTTGAGATGGGGTCTTGCCATAAAGCCTTCGCTGGCCTGAAACTTGTACTTTGTACCAGGCTGACCTCAAACCTTCAGTGATTCTGCTGCCTCTGCCTCCAGGTGCTGGAATTACAGGTATATACCACTACACCTGGCTATCATGGGAGATACATTTCAAGACTTTAAATGGATGCTTAAGACTGTGGGTCGTACTGGACCCTGTATGTACTGTTTCCCCCTATTTATGCACATCTATGATAAAGCTTAATTTACAATTATAGCAATATGCTGGGATAAAAGTTATGTAAAGTTTCTATCATCTACATATTATCTATATGTCATCTATCATCTGTCTGTCTACCTATCTTAATTGTCTTAATTGTCATCTGTCTGTCTACCTTATCTTTTCTGTATGTCATCTGTCATCTGTCTACCTATCTTAATTGTTCTATACTAACCTTCTTGATGAACCATGGGTCACTGAAATCACAGAAATCAAAGCTGTGGATGAATGGATGAGGAGGATACTGCACAGACTGTAAGGCTAAAGTAGGGTTTGGGACAACAAAGATGCTGGAGAAGGCAGACTAGAAGGACGGTTGATGGAGGGAGAAACTGGAAAGCTAGTCAGATAGAAACACTGGCCAGCAGGCTGTCAGAAGAGCATGTTATGAGAAGTACTGGGAGCTCCCAGAATAAAATTTATTGACAGTTAAGTCTTCTAACATCATGACTGCTATGTGAATTAAGATAGATAATCACATATTTTTGTGCAAAACAAATTGCTAAATAGTTGTATTTGGATGTATTTTTTGTTTGATGTTTGTTTTTTTTCTCTAAAATAAATGTGTACAAGGTCACATTTCATGTTAGAAATTTGGACACGTTGGGGCTGGAGAGATTGTTCAGTGGTTAAGCACACTGATTGTTCTTGCAGAAGACCCAGATTTGAACCCCAGCACCCGCATGGCAGCTAACAAGTGTCTGTAACTCCAGTCCCAGGGGATCCTCTTCTGACCTCTGCGGGCATTGCACCACATAGGTGCACTTACCTACATGCAGGCAATACATGAATACACATAAAATAAAAATAATCGATAAAATATTTAAAAAAATAAATTAAAAAAAATTTGGACAAGCTTTATCTAACATTGTGAGCAGCTTTCAAAAACTTGGAGACCACTGATAAAATCAGTGATGACATTAATGGATGGGATTTTGATATTGAAATGAGCCAGTGTTAGAAAGATCTGTATAATTCAGTGAGTCAGTCATTTCCAAATGACTAAGGCCTAATGTTAAGGAAATCATGCCTGGATAGGAGATGCATGCAGAGAACATGATAGCTTAACGAATTTTAACGTGATGGAGCATGAAAGTTCACTGATGTCGTGTGTTCCAGGCCCCACACCGTAGCTAACCTTTGATGAACTACCCCTTGTTGAGTTCTGCTGTAGTGTCAGAGAAGACTGTCCACAATTACTCAGAAATATGATTCCCGTCTCCAGCGTGTGTTTGTGTGAAGCTGAATTTTTATATGTATTTCAAGGACGACAAGAAGAAGTGAATGTGGAAACCATGGGAACCTCATTGTTTCTATTAAGCAGCCAGGGAAGAGATTTTGAAAATATAAAATGAAGCTATTTTTCTCACCAATGTTTGTAATAGTTATTTTGCATAGGAACATGCCATTTCTGCAACTATGTAGTGAATTTATTATTATTATTTTAACATTTTATTTATCATTTTTATTTTATGCGTATGAGTGTACTGCCTGCATGGGTGCTGTACAAGTGTGTCTGTGTTGTGTAATGCCCGTGGAGGTCAGAAGAGGGCATCAGATCCCCTGGAACTGGAGTTAGGATGCCATGTGGGTGCTGGGAATCAAACCCAGGTCCTCAGCAAAAACAATCAGTGCTCTTAATTGCTGAGCCAACTCTCCAGCCCTGAATTTATAAATTTTAAACAAATTAATAAACATGCATTTTTAATTTCTCAGTACTAATACGCAAATATTAGTACTTGAAAGATATACTGCAAATATGTAAAAGTCCTCTGGGGTCCCCAGCTGTTTTTAAGAGTGTGGAAAGCAGGCTGCTACACAGGCATGGGGATGGGCCTGAGTTAACAACTCCAGCAGCCAAGCCTGAAGACAGGCTCAGGGGGTGAAGACGGGCAGATGCTTGATGCTCACTGGCCAGTGTAGCCATGTAGATGAACACCAGGCTCAGTGAGAGGCTGCTCAGAAATTAAGGTGGAGAGTGACTGAGGAAGACATCCGACCTCGAACTATGGCCTCCACACACGAGTACCTAAATCTGTGTGCACATACAAATGCACATACCCATAAGGACACACACACACACACATACACACACACACACACACACACACACACACACGCACACAAAGTGTGGAAATGCTGGTATCAAAAAGTTTGAGAACTATTGCTCAATGTTGTAAAAACTCAGCTCAGTGACAGAAAATAAGTGTTCCTCATTTGGAATACGGAAAAGATGAAGTACATAATTCCCAAGGGAACTTATCCCTTTCTCTTGCTCTCAGCTCTGAAAGCATGGTCCTAGACACGATACACTCCTGGGCTGATCCTTGTGTTCCCTGGGTCCTGCCCCACAGGCAGCAGAGGTGAAAGGGCTCAGAATGCCTACTTGTTAATGTGCTTTAAAGTATTCTCAGCTAGTAAAGCTGTTTTAACCAATTCTGAATGAAGTATTTATACTATCAATATATCAACTTAGTAGCTCATTAAAGGAAAAAAGTAATAAATGGAAGCCTCCCACAGCTGATACTGATTGTCCACTTCAAATATTTGTTGGAGATCTGGCAGTGGGGCCTAGATAGTCAATAGGTATATCATAAGTAAAAGTTGTCTTAGAAAACAACAACAAACCAAGCTGGGTGTGGTACAGGTCTTTAATCCCAGCATTTGGGAGGTAGTGGCAGGCCGACCTCAGTTGAGATGGAGGTCAGTCTGATCTGCATACTGGGTTCCAGACCAGTTAGGGCTACAGGGAAACCCTGCCTCAAAAACAAACAAACAAACAAACAAAAAATCAAATAAATAAATAAATAATAAAAATAAGTTGTCTTAAATTATTAATAGAAGTATTTATAGATTTTATTTTGAGTCATACTTACCTGTAGTTGTAAAGGAGGAAATTTTTTTGTGACTTGAGCCATTGATGGGAAGTAAAAACATATCCCTACTCCCAACATTGTTGTTTTTCTTACTTAATCTGAATGTCCTTAGGAAGCATTTGTACCAAGTCTCAGCCGCACACGTCCTGTGCTCTGGTTGCTCTGGTGGAGGTGGAGGCGTAGGGTTGGGAATGACTCATAGGGTGTAGGCGTGTGTGCGGAAGATTACAGTGCAGCCCAGCCAGTGAGGCGCAAGCTTTCTATTGCAGCTTCCTCAATAAACTACTTTTGGTTTGGTGAGAAAGCGCTCCACACAATGGGTGCAGCAGTGAGAGGGTCCATCGCCTTATCGCCTTGACACCACGGCCTTTCTCCATCAGTTATTTCATCTGACAGAAGGGTTTTCAGTAAATGTGCCACCCATCTAGCCTTTTCCTCTTTCATCAATGTGAGTGACTCCTTGTATCCTGGAATCTCTTTTTACACCCAGAAACACCTTGTAAAACAGTGAGACTTGGAGTTGTACTAATTACGGACTTACGATTCATGCAACTTCTTACAGGATATCCCTTAGCTCAAAGAGATGTTTATTGCTTTTAAATTATTTCTTGGACTTTGGGGACACCTTCAAAAATAGTCATTACAAAAGAAATCTAAAGAGGAATCACGTCTTGATGCCATTTCGTGATACTGACAAATTTAGATTTATTTCAGGTAATATCTTCTTCACCAATCAAGGATGAAGAGGCAGGATGCTCATGTGATCTCGCTAGGAAAACACGACCCCAATAGAACTATTTGTGCTGACTGTCATTATTATAAAGAAAGTATGACTCTGCACAAGGCACTCCGCGAGGCCTTAGGTTCTGTGCGCTTTGGAATAATAGCTGCATCCTTTCCTCAGCCAGAGAAGTTTCACTGCAGTTGAGGTCTGGATTGTAAGGGCAAGCCACTGCAGGAAGGAACATTCTATGAAGGAAGCTTTGCTGGCTGTTATCTCACCCTGAAGGAGTTTGCTCACACTATTATATTCTGTGCAGGGGTGGAGACATGGCTGAGCAGTTAACAGCACTGGCTGCTCTTGTAGAGGACAGGTTCAGTTCCCAGCACCCACATGGTGGCTAACGACCACCTGTAACTCTAGTTCTAGGGTATCTGATAACCACTTCTGGTCTCTGTGGGCATTGCGTGTGCATGGTGCACTTACATACCCGCAGGCAAAACACTCATACACATAAAATAAAAATAAATTTAAAATTTTGTTTGCTAGTGTAATATTAAACTAAATTAAAGGTGATTGGATTCACCTGTTCTTACCAAGATCTTCAAAGTGGAAGGAGGCAATCAGTTTTCTTCCTTGCAGGCCCCTGTGTCGGATAATGCAGTCTGCTGTTGAGTTTTTGCCATATGTGTGGACTACGAGTGTGCTGGTGGTATTACATTTCTTCCCATCAATTTCAAAGTCATGGTGGAGTCCACCTATCCAACAATGTAAAGAGACAGAAAAGATTATGATTATGCAACACTGTTGGATGGGTTTGCTCCTACTAGAAACCAGTGTTTGACTTCAGGGCACCTCAGTCTAATCTCTGTCAGCTGCCTTGTGTGTGTTGAGTTTGTCCACAAAGACAATGGTAGAGGAGGAGGCAGGCGATGGGAAAGGAGATTGGAACTTTCTACCAACCCTTTGCTACTGGAAGAAAATTCAAAATAGGTAGTGGTTATATAAGATGGACAGCTTGATGTTACAAAACACAAAAACTCAAGAGCTTATGTAAGCTACATGAATAATGGAGATTTCTACGGGAGTAGAACTCTGCCGGACTGGAAATCAGATCTGAATCTTAAGTCTTCTCCCCTAGAACTCCATTCAGCCTTCTGTTTTCTCAACGGTGCAGGATCCTTGCAGCTCTTAAGGACATATGATTATACAGCTAGCAAAAGCAAAGCCTGTTAGTGTCAGTAGATGATATGTAAGTAATTCCTAAACAACGCAATGAGTTATCCCTTCAAACAAATGTTCCAAGTTTAATTTTTATATTTTCACAATATCTAATAAAAATTTTGAGACCAGATTCATTATGCAGTTCAGACTGGCCTGGAACTCACCATGCAGCTCAGGCTGGCCTCAAACACACAGTCCTCTTGCCTCAGCCTCCCGTGCTGGGATTACATGTGTGAACCACCACGCCTAGCTCTCATAACATTTTTAATCTGTCTTTGTGGGTGTGACACAGTACCACATTATATAAGGAAGGCCTTATATGTTTGATTATGGACAGCATCTGACTAACCATGGCTCGATATGACTTAACCTTGGGATGTGGGAAAGCTCACCCATGCATACTCACAGGTAAGCGAATGTACACACAGGCAACCATTCTGTTTAAATACATTCAGTACAGAACTCAATAAATTACATGAGGTGCTGAGAAGTTTATTGTGAAATAGGCTTTGCATTAGGTGATTTTTGCTCAGCGATACGATAATGTTTAAGGTAGATTAAGTTTTTTTTTCTAATGTTTGGTAGGTTAGGGGTATTACGTGCACTTTTTATGAAGACATTTTCAACTTATTGTGGGTTTCTTGGGACACAGCCACATAGTAAGTTGAAGAGCATATGTACATGTATTACGTTAAGTATCTTTTCAATTTTGTGACTGTGAAGTTTATGCTCAGAGGTGAAAGTTATGTTACACCGCTTATTTTAGGGAATTTTATCAAATTTAAGAATATAGTACAAATATATTACTTCATATTTCTACTTTGTTTCCGAAAAACTTTCGTGATTAACATTAGCCATAGTACTGACTGTCAAAAAGCTGATTTCTCTGGAGCAGAATTGATGTTATTGAATAGGGTCTTTGGCACTTCTTGTCACCAGAGGGCGCCAGAACATTTAAAAACCTCTTGAAAATTTAAGCAGGAAGGAAACAAAGAAACCTCTCCCCACTTACCATAGAGCTCCACAGCATTCCCTAGCAGCCAGGTTATCTGTGGAGGGGGCTTGCTTCTCTCGGTGGAACATTTCAGGATAACATGTTTTTCTCCATTCTGCTTTCTGATAACCACAGCGTCCACAGTTGGCTTGAAAGGAGTTGCTAGAAGAAAGTCAATTTTTCTGTGCTTAATTGGTTGATCTTCAGTGTGTGTGTGTGTGTGTGTGTGTGTGTGTGTGTGCCTGTGCCTGTGTTTGTGTGTTCAGATATGTGTACATGTAGAGGCCGAAAGTCAATGGCGGGTGTCTTCCTAAGTCACTCTCCACCTTATTTTTTGAGACAGGTCTCAAACTGAACCTGGAGCTTACCAATTCAGCCAAGCTGGCTGACCAACCAGCTGCAGGAATATACCTGTCCCTTCCAAAACACTGGGGTTATAGATGCCGGTGCCAGGCTTTTATGTGAGTACTGGGCATCCAAACTCAACTGCTGCATATTTTTGCAAAGCACACTACCTATGAAGCTCCAAGGATTGCTATAGGACAATTCTTGGTCAAATTCATGGTGATAGTTCTCACTTAACTTTTCCCAGAATCCTATCATGTTATACTTGCAAAAAACTAAGTTGGCTGAGGTCAGAATGTTAGTTACCATGTATCCAATTAGTCCCTAAAAGTTCCCAAAGAGACAGCATTATAACAGGTATCTGAATGTGATATAGGACTCTGCCAGAACACTGCTTAAGAGAGAGACTTCTAGTCCTATCCTTGTCACCAGTTATTTGTAGAGACTTAGATAAGTCCTCCAACATCTTGATATATCAGCTATGACATGAAAGATCTGGCTAACGAGCTGACTTTTTAGCTCTAAAGTTCATTGAGTCTACACAAGTAAGGGGCAAAGTGAGTTGCTTCTGCCTAACATCGAAAGCACCTTCTGTTACAAAGGACCAGTTGATATTTTTGTTCTGTACTTCTGTCTTGGAAATACTATGTAGCGAGGCCTACTTCCTCCTCTTCCCTATTCTTTTACTTTCATTCAGCCTGCACTCTTCCGCATGTATTGAACTCATCCACGTGTCATCCAGGCACGGAGAGGCTCCAGGCACACACTAGATGTGTTACTTGTTGGCAACACAAAGATGGAAAAGATGAGGCATTAACAATCTAGCTGTAGGCTTGGGTCCTACGCTGTCAGTTCAGAGATCATGTGCTGGGACTGAGGGTCTGGCTCAGTGGTGCAGCATGTGCCTAGCATGCTCAGGGCCCTGGGGTCAGTTCTTAACACCATCCAAAGAAAACCAAAAAAGTTCCTGTGATGAGTGTTGTGATAGAGGAATGCAGAGGACACATAAATGACAGCTCAGAAGGACACACAAAAGCTGGGATGGCACAAGAGATGGCCTGATGGGCTGAGCCACACATGTTCTCAGAGCCCGGAGTCCACTCCTTCCCAGATACTTTCTGCCATGCCTTTACTTTCAACAGGCACCATACAATAACGTCAACAAAGAAGTCTGAGGAATTAATTGATGTGATGTAGGATTATGGCACTGAGAGATCAGTGAAAGACAATGTTTAATTGATCTACTTTGCCATCAAAAGGCAAGCAAGCAAACAAACAAAAGTTGGTAAGACACAGGGCAGAACCAACTGATGGATTGCTTATAGAACGAGTAAGTCCCAGAAGAATGTGAAGCTGTCACTTCCTGTCCATAACTCCAGTTTCCCTCCAAGGAGGTAAGGATTGTTTTGCAGCAGATGCAAGCCCAAAATTCTATGTAGCTATGCCTGAGTTCATCCTGTCTTAGGGTATGCTGTCACAAGGTTCTGTTTTATTTTCATACATGTTTTTCCTTGCAAAATGGTGGACAAATTCTAAAGAATTTGGGCAGAGGTCATGCCAAATACCTCTTTGATTCCCTAGAGCCTCACACAGCACCTGGCACATAGTCATAGTCTATCAAATATTAATTGTATTTCTGTTTAGTTTCCCGAAAAGAAAATTTAGTTGATGCCCCAGGCAAATTCACAAGTTCACATTTGAATCTAGAGTTTGCCAACTCAAAAAGCTCTTTTTGGTTTTCTTTCAATAAAAGATGGCAGAGGTGACCCCGGAAGTACCTTGTTACAGGCAACATTCTCTAAACTAAATTGTCAAGCTTGAAAATGGTATATTGTAGGGCTGGAAAGATGGATTAAGAGTGAAAACTGATCCTGCATAGGACCCAAATTTGGTTCCCAGCACCCACATTGGGTAGCTCACAACCACCTGGAACTCCAGTTCCAGGTGATCTAATGCCCCCTTCTGGCCTCTATGGGTAACTTCACTCATGTGCACATACCCACATACAGACACAGTCATATACACATAATTTAAAATAAAATAAATCTAAAAAAAGAATAGTGCTTTGGGGCTGGAGAGATGGTTATGAGCACTGGATGCTCTTGCAGAGGACCTGAGTTCAGTTCCCAGCACCCACATGGAGGATAACAACCATCTGTAACTCTAGTTCCAGAGGCTCTAACACCTTCTGGCCTCTACAAACATTGCATGTATGGGTGTGCTTACACATGTGCAGACAAAGCACTCATACACATAAAGATTTTAAAAATAGTGCATTGGTTGGGTGTGGTGGTACACACCGTTAATACAAGCACTAGGGCGGCAAAGACAGGTGGATCTCTGTAAGATCAAGGCCAGTCTGGCCTACATGACAAGTCCCAGGCCAGCTGGGCCTACAGGAAGACCTTTTGTCAGGAAACTGAAAAACAAAAAGTACATTGCAAATTTTAAAGACTGTAGAGAGTGGAGAGATGGCTCAGTGGATAAAGGTGCATGTCACCAGGTCTAACAACCTGAGTTCAATCCCCAGGATTCACACGGTTAAAGGAGAGAACTGATTCCTGCAAGTTGTCCTCCGACCTTCACAAGAGTGCCAAGGCACATGTCCCATCCTTAGAAAAGACAAACAAAACTGTAAAAAAAGGGGAAAAAAAAAAAAAGGCTGGCTCAGCAGTTAAGAGCTTTTACTGCTCTTCCAGAAGACCTGAGTTCAGTTTCCAGCATCCAAGGTCAATGGCTCATAAAGCTCCAGGTGCAGAGGATCCAGCATCCTCTTCTGGCCTCCACAGGCACCCCCCACCCCCTACCCCCTCACAGACACATATACACCTATAGTTAAAAATAATAATATGTCCTAAAAAAATAAAATAAATAAAGATAGCATGTTGTGCTCATAACTGTACCATGCCCATTCGGAGCTGCCTTGCCGGGGACGTACCTAGCACAATGACTCTCACTTGTTTTGTGCTCACAGAATTACTGTAATGTAAACACTTGTACACGCCTTCATCTTGCAGGGTGACATTGGGCACGGTGATGGAGAGCTGTGTGGCTGAGCGATGGAGAAGCTGGTATTTGGAGTTTTTTAAGGCTGTACAAGATGGAAATAGAACAGTTAGGAGGAAAGGTATCAGACAGATATGGATTGCTCATTCATAAGGATAACCTGATTTTCAGTCAAGCTGCTTCTTAAATTCTAGTGTTACCAGGGCGTGCCTCTTGGAGTTAGTTTAGGAAATGAACTATTTGGGCAGTGGGATCTGTGCAGCAAAGAAATGACTTTGCTCATGCTTGTAGGAAATGAAAATTGCTGTGCTGGAGGCAGAGTCAAGCTACAGGAGGATTTTAGTTGTTGTTTTAATGAACGACGCTCCACTCTGAGTTACCACTGGGAAATCTTATGCATTTGACAACATTTTGTCACAATGAATGTCAGAAATGGAAGACAGAGGTACCAGCTAAGTGCCTTTAATTTTTAATTAAAAAAGTGCTTATTATAGGGGTCTGGAAAAATGGCTCAGTGGTGAAGAGTGTATACTGTTCTTACAGAGGACCTGAGCTCGATTCCCAGCACCCACATCAAGTGGCTCACAACTGCCTGTGACTCCAGTTCCAGAGGGGATCTGATGCCTCCAGCCTCCTTAGTGTTTCACATTCACGTACACATACCCCTCCCCATACATACATACAATTAAAAATAATAAAAATATGGGCTTGGGTACACTTACCTACATGCAGGCAACACACTCATACACGTAAAATAAAAATAAATAAAATATTTAAAAAAGAGTCCATGTGTATAGCTAAAGGCTACATACATGTGTAAAGGCTACATAACAATAACAATGCCAGACAGGAGATACCTTCCTTTGAGTTGTTGGCCAGGATGGCCCAAGAGACTCCCAGACAGTAACCCAGCATAGAACTGGGAAAAGGATCAGCAGATCCAAATCTTATCTAAAGGATTATTGACAACTGATTGCTGCTAGATGAGGAAGAGCTGATCTTCCTAAAACAAGGAACTCTAGATAGGCTGACTAGATTCAGTGGCTGGATAAGCACTGGGGAACGGCTAGGGGCACTGACAACACAGTGGACAGTAACAGGGATGACAGAGCATATGGGCTCCAGTGAAGTGGGGAGGCTATGGGAGGGTGCCCTTTGGCAAGTGGGTATATAGATGAATAAGATTGTTTGGGATGTTCTGTATGAAACACACACACAAAATCAATAAATTAAAAAATGAGTTATATAAAAAATAAAAATAAATCTTGGCGCTGGAGAGATGGCTCAGCAGTTGAGAGCACCTGCTTCTCTTGCAGAGGACCCAGTTTTACTTTCCAGCACCCATATGATTGCTTTTCCAGCAATGCTCCATAACTCCAGGGATCCAATGCCCTCTTCTGACCTCTGTGGGCACTGCATGATATGGGTGCACTTACATGCAAGGCAAAACATTCATACACATGAAATAAAAATAAATAAATATTAGAAAGTAAATCTTTTTTAAATTTAATAACCACATGATTAGGAGAAGTATTTCATTACAGCTTTAACATATTCAATGACAATTTCCAGAGAAAAGATACATCTCTTTCAAAATTGGTTGTAAATTTTTAGGTTCACAATTGATTTAATACAGTTATACAAAATTGAACTCAGTATAAACCCTGTAAGATATAAAATTGAATGAGTTTTTAACCTTTAAAAACAATCTCCATTTCATTTTAAAATATACTGTTTTCTACAGAAAGACTCATTTTTAATGCTACTAACACTTATATGTTCGCACGTGTCTCTAGTCTCTATGTATCTGGTTATTACTAGTCACAACTGGTCACACTCGGATCCTTGGCACCTGAGTATGGATATAAAGTCATCAGGTAGATTTCAATGGTAATGTTTATCACCTCTACTAATTAACATGAAGTAAATTTTTATGCTTCCTCCTCAAATATAACTCATTTTTTTATTTGTTGATTTTTTTGTGTGTATATCATACAGAACATCCCAAACCATCTTATTCATCTATATACCCACTTCCCAAATGGCACCCTCCCATAGCCCCCATCCCCCATGGGAGCCCAAATACTCTGCCATCACTGTTACTGCCTACTGTGTTGTCAGTGCCCCCAGCCGCTCCCCAGTGCTTATCCAGCCACTGAATCTAGTCAGCCTATCTAGCGAGCCTTGTTTTAGGAAGATCAGCTTTCTCATCTAGCAGCAATCAGTTGTCAATATTCTTTTAGATAAGATTGGGGTCTGCTGTTCATTTTCCCAGTTCTATGCTGGGTCACTATCTGGGAGTCTCTTGGGCCACCCTGGCCAACAACTCAAAGGAAGGTATCTCCTGTCTGGAATTGTTTCTTGTTATGTAGCCTTTAGCTATACATATGGACTCTTAAAAAATTATATTGACCACATTAATCTTTGGTTATACTTTCCTTTTGGATGTTTAATATGCTACAATTGGCCCAGATAAACCAATTTATTTTTACTTTTAAGGTCGTTTGAGGATCTGTTCCTCAGGGGTCACATGGGCTTGGGAGGAGTTCCAGGGGACTATGAGCATCTCCCAAAATGTCCTGTAACTGTGGTGAGTCACCTGTCCTCTTGATCAAGGAGGCCATGGAGACCCCACCCGATGGACCTGAACCAGTGTCCAGTCTACAAAGAGGAGGGTCAACACAGAGGAAGCATATTCTCCATGCTTCCAGGTGAAGCCAGCCGTGGTCGAGCAGGACCTTTGACTTATCCTTACATAGACAAAAGTGGTAAAAGAAAATAAATCTTTAAAAAATTAAAATGTTGGGGCTGGAGAGATGGATCAGCAGTTAAGAGCACTAGCTGCTCTTGTAGAGGACCTGGGTTCAGTTACCAGAACTCACATGTTGGCTAACAACAATTGGTAACTCCAGTTCTAGGTGATCTGATGCCCTCTTCTAGCCTCCGTGGACATTGCACACACAGGTGCCCTTACATACATGTAGACAAAACACTCATTCACACAAAATAAAAATAAATAAAAAACAAGAACAAAACAAAAATTAAAATGTTCATTATAATGCAAAGGTTTCCATGGATTGAGACTTAATCCTTCCAGGATTTTTATCCAATAGCAAAAAAGCAAGCTCCAAAGAGTCCCCCTCTTGCTTATACTGTGCATATTGACCTGAGGGGCAGTCAAAGATCCGCTAGCAAATCAGAGACTCTGGAAAGAGTGTTTTTGCTTACTTGCCTTTTGATCTGTTAAAGGTTTATAATATGAACAAGTGGAACACAGTTAAACCTTGAATAGTCACCCAACGGAATGTGTCTCCTTGGGAATGATGGTTTTCTACTGGAACCTTAAATCATGTGAACTAGAACCCTGGGGTTTTCACCTGATTTTGACATTGAAGCTGATATTCTTTGTTGTGGGGCTTCGCTGTACAATGTAGGGTTTTTAGCAGCTCCCTTGGCCTCTCTCTGTAGATGCCAGGAGCATTACCCTCATTCCCTATTTGTAGCAAGTCCAGTATCTCCAGACATTGTCAGATGCCAACCAGAGAGCAAGATGATGAGGTGGAAAACCTGAAAGCTGGGCTAAGGGATCAAAGGTGTGTACCACCACACCAAGCAACCAGAACTAATTCTACTCAAAGTTTATTTCTCTACAACTTTTACTACTTGCATCTACTTATTCTTTTGGGATTTACTATTAATCATTGACTAAGCTTAAAATAATTGATCTAGCTACTTTAATTCATCCATGTTTAATAGTATGTACAAAACATTTCTTGTTTTTTATAAACTCTGTGAATGTGAATGAAACTTGTTGATTAGGGATATTAGAGATATTAAATAATGTTATTATGAAGGGAGACTTTAGTAAAACCTTATCCAAGGTGAAAGAGATGCATGAGTTTTGAGAGTTCCCTTCCATTTCAAGTATGGAGTACTTATCTCATGTGTGTTGTAGTGAGAGGAATTACCATTCTCCTCCCCAAAGTGATGCTTCCTGCCAATTCTGTTGTTTAGAAATCTTGATATGATGTTAAGTCTGACAGGGGAAGACTGTCTTGGAGGGTGCTCAGCAACATGACTTTGCACTGCACAGAAGCTAAACAAAGCAGCTGTTTCTAGATGTGAGGTGATGCTGCCCACCCAGGGCATTGGGCCTCCAATGCACCCTGCCACCCACCTATTGCTTTACTGTGGGTGTTTCCTGGTCACTGAGTGTCAAAAAGTGATGTGGGGGCGAGGTGTGGACATGGAAAAGGGCTTTGTTGTTTGAGCCCCCTTTAACAACCTTTCTGATGGGGTTTCCATTTCAGATTTCCTGCCCCCTAAACAGCAGCATGTGTCAAATAACAGGCTTCGGAGACATGATTCACATATAACAGTAGGTGGACTGAGCCCACCCTTTGGGTGACTCATGCAGACCCCTGGCTGGGAAACTCCTTGGGTTGAGGTCTGGTGCACTTTCCTTTCTTTTCAAAATTTTTTTTTTTTTTTTTTTTTTTTTTTTTTTTTTTTTTTTTTTTTTTTTCACTTACCAGGATGCTCATTAAAGAAAATGGTGAACCCTGAGGGAGCCAGCCACTGCAAGGAGGCGTTCTTCGTCACAGACGTGATACAATTTAGGGTGAGCTTCTGGCCTTCCTCCACCATGACGGTTTCCATGTGGTTTGTGAGAAAAGCCGCTGTGGAGAAGAGAACAGGGAAGGTCAGGGTGAGGCTGGGAAGGGGTTCAGTCTCAGTACGACCTCCTTCAGTCAGTCCTTTGTGTAACAGAGTCCCTGTAAGCATTGAAATAGAAGCAAATACCAAAAAAACACCTGAGGAGAGAGTGAGCAGTAGGCATGTGTGGGAGCAGTGAAAGCACTTCATGAACAGGTCTGGATGAAGCCGAATGGTTTGAATAGGAAGAAAGAATGGCTGAATGACTGCTGAGGGGCACTCCCTGCCACACCAGGAACTGTACCAGCCGAGGTGCCTCAGTTTAGCTCTCAGAGAAAGAATTCTCTTCTTTGTGCTTACTTTGTTTTATTCTCTCTCTCTCTCTCTCTCTCTCTCTCTCTCTCTCTCTCTCTCTCTCTCTCTCTCTCTCTCTTGATGCATATGTGGAGGGGAGAGGACAACGTGAGAGAGTCTCTCTCTCTCTCTCTCTCTCTCTCTCTCTCTCTCTCTCTCTGCCTTGATGCATATGTGGAGAGGAGAGGACAACTTGAGAGAGTCAGTTCTATTTTTCCTCCATGTGGGTCCTGAGATCGAACTCAAGTCATGCTTGGCACCAAGCGCCTTTATCACTGAGCCATCTCCCTATCCCCCCCAAAAGACTAATTTTGCTCACTTTACAGATAGAGTAGGGAATCCAGGCTCAAGATCACAGAAGTCACAAGGCTAAAATCTATACTGAGGGTGCGGATCTCAAAATTCACAAATCTGCAACTCATCACCAACTTATCAGAATGATGAAACCCCAGAAAATAGTGTTTATGGTCTTAGTTTATAAAATGTGTGATTTGCATGTTCAGGTGTTAAAGTGTGTGCATCTAGGCTTCTATGAAAAGGAGGTTGCAGTTACAGGTATTGAGAATCGTAGAATGCTTGCCTAGCTTTGGAGAGACCCTGGGTTGAATGAATTCTCTCTCTCTCTCTCTCTCTCTCTCTCTCTCTCTCTCTCTCACACACTCTCTCTCTCTCTCTCTCACACACACACACACACACACGTACGTGATATTCTCATGTGTTGTAGAGCCGTTGGTCACAGGAAATACATATAACTTCACCCCAGAAAACCGCTACCGCATAAGGAGTGTGCCTCCAACCTAATATTCCATAACAGTACTTTCTCCAGTTAATGTGAGTCTAATTCCCCTGAATCACAACCCCCAGAGAATGCTAAACAATTGCTTCTAAGCAGCTACAAATTTATCCCCCCAGAAAGCAATGAAAGGAAAAACAAACTTGCTTTTCCTGCTAAATTGGCACATTGATCATCATTCATTATTTCTCCAAATTTAAAACTAAGTTGTTTTTCCTCAGGATGATAAAATTCTTACTGAGGAAGGTGTACGCAATATTCATACACAGAATACCATAGAACTATAGATTGTGGATAACAAATACTATGTTTTAGAGTTATCTTGAACCTAAAAAACAAAGAACAGAAGGAAGGAAGGAAGTTTATTTCCTTGTGATACAGATATTGTGAAAAAACATTATTTTTGTGCGGTTTTTTCTTGGTCTTTTTGAGACAGGATCTCTCTGTAGCCCCAGCTGTCCTGGAACTTGCTATATAGACCAGGCTGGCCTCAAACTCACAGAGGTCTACCTGCCTCTGCTTTACTGGGATCAAAGGTGTGCACCACCATACCCGGCTCTATTTTTGTGTTTTTGAGATATGTCTCAGGTAGCCTAGGCTGCCTTGAGCTTACCATGTAGCTTAGGCTGGCAGTAAACTTTTGGTCTTCCTATTTTGGCCTTCTAGATACTGAGATTACAGGTATAAGCACTAAGCCCAGCATCCTTATGATATATTCAAAGTATTAGGAAAAGTGCTTTGGAGAGTTTTGGGAAATAATTGATGATGTCTTTTTTGTGTGTATTCCACCCCAGGTCACTAATTGGATCTGGGCTACAGCAATAATAACCCTGAATTTTTGTATGGTATTCATATAAACTTTCATGGGAAATTGATTGCTTTAGTTCTAATGGGCAAACACCTATAAAATCAGTCAACATGGTAATAAACAGTGAGATAATATAAAAAGATTTGTGGGACTGGAGTGACAGCTTGGTTGGTAAAGTATTTGCCATACAAGTGTGAGAATGAGAAGGTTGGGCCCTAGAAACTACTTAAGAAAAAACACAACAGGTGCAGTGGTACTGGCTTGTATTCCCAGTGCCAGGGAGGTGGAGACAGGAGGAACCCTAGGACTCACTGGCCAGTCAGTCTAGGGAATTGATGAGCTCTGGGTTCAGTGAGAGACCCTATCAAAAAATAAGGTGAGGAGTGATTGAAGGGATACAGTCATGTTCACCCTGGCCTCCACATACTCCACACAGACACACAGACACACAGGCACACACACGCACACACACACATTTGTGGGGCTGGAAATACAGCTTGGGGGCAGAACATGGAGTTAGCATTCCAGAGGACTTGGCTTCAATCACTAGCTGACAACTAACTAACTAACTAACTAACTAACTGCAACACTTGTATTTTCCAAAAATAAACATTGAGACCTGTAGCCAGAATTCTGTTCATGTTCCCTCATTGGGAATATTCTCATGAGTTAAATAGAGTCAGTTGATTCTTACAACATCTTAAGATTGAGATGAGCTATCCTTTGGCTTTTTGGCACAGGCTAAAGTAGAGTACACCCTAAGATTAGTAGCAGCTGCCCTTGCTGCTGAGAGGTTAGTGTCTGGCTGCCAATCCTGCAGACCACACCTGTTGATGCTATAGTCGCACACGCGGAGGGCTACAGCTGAGGTGCAGAGCCTTGGCTGTTTCCTCCTTCCTGCAAGGCTTGCTTTGGGCTTGACAGGTCCGCTTAGCTTGTAGTCTTATGTAGGTTCTGTGTTTGATTTTGCAACAAGCAGGAAATCGTTGTAGAAAGGAAAAGTAGTCCAGTGAGAAGCCACAAGCCCACCCAGCTTTGCTTCAACTGTGCTACTTAAAATATTTAGTGTGCCTAAATCCGCTACAGTGTGTGAGAGAGAAGCCACAAGCCCACCCAGCTTTGCTTCAACTGTGCTACTTAAAATATTATTTAGTGTGCCTAAATCCGCTACAGTGTGTGAGGGGAAGACGCTGTGCCCAAGCCTTGAGGGAAAGCCACTGAGTCGGAGTTGTCCATGGCCCTTTCGCTGCCAGTAGACACTGAACTGGAAGTTCAGTTGCCGTTCACTTTTCTTTCACTTAAGTTTGGATTCAAACTTTCACCTTCTTGTCAGAGCAATGAGGTTATATTTTTTTTGTCTTACCACTTCCTCCCTCATAGACGCTAAAGCTGTGTTGACAGAATCCTCACTCACCCTTGACTTTTCCCGTGGCCTGCATGCCATGCACTTCCTTCCTAGTTCTCCCTATCACGGCTGCACAGTTCTTATTTGCAGATCCTTCCCATGTGGCTCCATTCGGCATCGCATCTGTGGGGTGAACACTTCCTACTTGTAGGTCATGTTGACCGAGTGATTGTTGGCTTCTGGGCTTGGTTGTCGCAATGACTGGATGCACGAAGCCATCAATGACCATGTGTTAGGAGGCTTCTATGAGAGCCAGTTTGTGACTGACTTAGTAGTCATAACACTGTTAGGAAACTTCATCATTGTGCAGACATCATGATGTGTACTTATTTTTCGGTACCGAGGACTGAACTTAGGGTGCTAACATTTTTATCTCTTTCTTTTTTAAAAAATTAATTAATTTAGTGCATCTGAGTTGTGTATGTGTGTAGGTGTGCATACTCCAGTGCACATATGTGGTTAGGGAACTACTTTCAGGAGTCAGTTCTCTCCTTCCACCATGTGGGTCCTCAGGATCAAACTTAGGTTATAAGTCTTGGCAGCAAGTGCCTTAACCCGCTGAACCATCTTGCCGGCCCCTTCTTTTCCTTTTCATAGAGTGTACTTTGTACCCAACACAGACTTGGATGATAAAGCTTAAAGAGCACTTAAACAACACTGCAGTCTTATGAGACCACCATTGTCTATGTAGTCTGTGGTAAAGCAGAACAGCATTATACTATACATGATTATATTATATATTCTATGTATATAGAAATAGTACCTGGGATCTTCATCATCATCTCTTCCCTCAAATCAGTAAAGTAATGGTCCTGGGCTGGGAAGATGGCTCAGTGGGTAGGGCACTTGCTCTGAGAGCACCCCACATAAAAAATGAGCTAGGCAGGTATGCACATGCTTGTACCCCAGCATGTATCCCAGCATTGGTGGGGGGTTGGAGACAGATTTCTGGCGCTTGCTGGCCAGCCAGTCTAGCAGAAACAGTGAGCTTCAGGTTTAGTGAGAGACTCTGCCTCAAGGGAATAAAGGGGAGCGCGATAGAGGAAGGCACCCAATGTCCTCCTCTGGCTTCACATGTGCATATAGCACACACAAGTGTATGTATGCCCATAACCACACACACAGCACTCACATAAAAATGAACAAGCTAATGGTGGATGGCTTCATGTGACCGACTTGTAAGCAAAGGATGAGCAGCAGTCATTCTCACCTGTTGAAGTACACACAGGTGAAGTCAAGGCTTTCCTAAAGAGCTCTCACTTTTTCCCAAGCTTAACAGGAGTTGGTCTGTGGGATCTTCACCTTTGTATAGATCACCACAGAGACTGAAAAAAAAAGAATAAAATATTCTTTCTTTGTATGGACTTAATGTCCCAATACTGCATGCAATAAATTTAAAATGAAAGCAGAACAAGTCTATGTGATAGGCCCTAAACTCAACATGTCCAATTGGAATTTCAGCTCTCTCCTGTCCCATGTCTCTCCTGCCCCCTCCCATACTGAATATAGATGTGTCACAGGCTTAACTCCAGTATTTTCTTACATTAGTTGATTTCATTACCAGCCTCTGTATCCCAGACATTTGACAGGCACTGTAGCCTCCCGTCTCTCCCAAACACTGCTTTAATCCATCCAGACCTCTTTCCCGGCTACTGCTGCTTAGTTGAGGCTTCCATCATTTCTTGCCTGGACCACTGTAATAATAATTTCCTTCTAGTTTTCCTTCCCCTGATTCATCATCCCCATCAGCTTTTGGAATGACATTTTAAGAACATCATGCCTCATCCTTCATTAAAATATTTCGTATGGATGGCATTGTCTGTAAGAATCAGTCCAAACAAAATTCCTGACGACTTTATCCCATGTTCTCCTCCTATATCATCTGCTAAGAATTCCTTCCAGATCTGCCATGTAAAGTGACACTGGTGGCTCCTGGAAGACCCTAGCTGCAAAGACTCTTTGCCTTTGTCTTTGCTGTTCTCTTGGCCTACAATGTCTTCTGTATCTCCTCCAAGACTCTCTTCATGAAGACTCAACTCACATGATGCAGCTTCTGTCAAAATTTCCTAGCAGGGGGCTGGAAAGATGGTGCAGTGGTTACAGCACATGCAATGCAAGCAAGACAATGTGTGTCTGGATCCCTAGAACACATGTAAATGCTGGGTGGGTGTGGCAGCTTGCAGACTCAGAAGGCAGGGACAGGGATTCCTGGAGTAAGCTGGCTAGTGAGACTAGCTATATTGGTGAGCTCTGGGCTTGACTGAGAGACCCTGCCTCAAAGAGCATAAATGGGGAGTGATCAAAGAAGATTCCCGATATCAAACTTGGGCCTCCACATGCATGTGCATACATTACATGCACGCCATATACATAAAAAGAAGAACAAACACACACATTTCCAAGCAGGCCCGAAGTCTTTGAATCCACTTTGGTTACAGCACTTAGCGCTTTCCTTTATACTTATTTGGTTACAGGTGCATCTCTGATAACAGATTCCAAACTCCCAAGGATGCAGAGAATGCATCATCCTTTCACTTTAATTCTCAGAGACTAGCACGAAGTAGGTTTTTAGATATTAGTTGAATTAATGGGCAAAATTGAATAAATGTAAATCTTCAGATAGAGTGCTAATTTTGCTTCAAAGATAGAGTGCTATTTTGCTATATATCAAATAACAAAGACTTGAAGTAAATTAAGCCCCAAACATGCAATGAGTGAATTCTCAAATCAGAACCGTTTCCATAGTTGTCAGCAGCATTAGGCAGAAATGTGATTCGTACACAGCAGAATTAAGTACAGATTATTACAAAAGGATTTTCATTATGTTTAGATAGAATCAGAAGAGAAAACTAGAGATACAGAAAAAAATTAGACTTGTCAAAATCAAATCATTTCCCAGATAGCCATAAAGAGGCTGACTCAATAGCGAAAGAAAGGGATTATTGTTTGTAAGGTTCCTTTGTTTCCCGTCCCTAGAAAAGCGGGTTGAAAATGTGATGGGTTTGACCTTTTTATCGTCGTCCACAATGTAAAAGGAATGGATTTTGAAACCGACTTAGTCCTTTTGTTTTATCCATCCTAGAGATTATCTATTCCAGGAGCAGCCTGGAGTAGAAAAGAGGGCAGGGTTTGAGATTATGGGATTCTTTTGTCTGCAAAATTTTGGCTTCTTGCCCATACCATTATTTGCTAAAATAGGCTGACAATTTACAGCTGTGTCAAAGAGGATGGTTTGCTATCTTTTTGTTGACAAGAAGGCAGCATGGCCAGCTCCTTCCCCATTTGGGACTCTGAGGGGCCTGAGTAGGTTCAGGTCAGAGTGCACAATGGTTGTTCAAATGCCACTGAGCTTGGATATCCACTGTGTGGGTGAATTTTTCAAACTGGGAATTTTCAGTATAGTGTCTTTTAAAATGTAAAAGTCAGTAGTTTTCAAACTTTTGATTCACATTAAGAATGCATTTTCAAGGTTGGAGAAATGGCTCAGCAGTTAAGAGCACATGCTACTCTTGCAGAGGACCCTAGTTCAATTCCCAGCACACATATCAGGTGGCTCACAACTACCTGTAACTACAGGGAATCCAACACCTCTGTCCTGTGAGCACAGGCACGCACATGCACATACTCACACAGAGACACATGTACAAAATTTAAAAATAATAAGATAAATCTTTTTTTTTAAAGTATGTAGTATCTATCTTAACTCAATGCACATGCACGCACACACATTAAAAAATTCACGAGGGAGAGATGGTTGAGTGGTTAAGAGCACTGACTTCTCTTGGAGAGGACCTGAGTTTGGTTCCCAACACCCACACGATCACCAGAAACTGTTGATAATTCCAGTTTCAGGGAATCTGATGCCCTATTCTGACTTCCATGGACACTGCATGACTTCTGTGCACTTACATACATGCGGGTAAAACATACACATAAAAATAAATAAATTTTTAAAAATTAAGAATTTCATGAGGGGCTGGAGAGATGGATCAGCAGTTATGAGTACTCACTGGTCTTGCAGAGGACCTGGGTTCAGTCCCCAGCACCCACATGGTGGCTAACAATTGTTGGTAACTCCAGTGCCAGGAAATCCAACGCCCTCTTCTGACCTTTGCAGGTATTGCATGCATGTGGTACACTTACATAACATGCAGGCAAAACATTCATACATATAAAATACAAATAAATAAATAAATAAATTTAAATTTAAAATTTCCTTAGATAAAAACATTTATAGTCTTCATAGGTTGATGTTTTCTGTTTTGCTGGCTATGAAAACTCTGGCAGGCTATTGACTGGTAGTCCTCTAACCTTAGTGTCTTATGTACAAATTGGAGCTATCAGTATCTACCTTGGTGTTTTTGCTAGGTTTAAATGCATAATTTGCCCAGGGCTGTGCATAACACAATAAATATTTTCTCTCTTCATATAAATCATATTTGACTAACATATCCCAGTAGATTTGCCTTAAGTTTATCTTTTGTTTCTTTGCTTGTTTTTTTTAATTTTTTTATTTTTATTTTATGTGTATGCGTGTATTGCCTGCATGTAGGCAAGTGCATCCGTGTCATGCAATACCCACAGAGGACAGAAGAGGCTGTTGGATCCCCTGGAACTGGAGTTACAGACAGTTGTTAGCTGCCATGTGGGTGCCAGGATTCAAACTCAGGTCTTCTGCAAGAACAGTGTTCTTAACCGCTAAACCATCTCTCCAGACCCCTGCTTGTTTTTTTTGAAACAGGTTCTTGCTATGTAGCATTGCCTAGCCTAGAGTCCCTTTTGCAGCCCAGGCTGATCTTGAACTCATGGTGATCCTCCTGCCTCATTTTCCCAAATACTGACATTATAGGCATGGGCTAGCATACCCAGCTATGTTTATCTTTTTTTTTCTTTTTGGATGGAGATGGTTTATTAATTACCACAGCAAAAAAATATATATATCTCTATCTATAGGCGTATATGCACCTGTGTGTATATACATAAATACATATGTATATATGCAGAAATTCAGAATGAGAAGGAAGTTTAACCCCAGCATAACTAGCATTTATACCTAGGTGGCAATAATAAAGCTGCACACCCCCCCTTCTTCTTACACATCCTTCTACACTATATGTCCTGTGTTCAATGAATGAAGACAATAATGCTGGCTTTCTTTACAAACCAAGGCACCATCACGAGCTGCATCATCATCACCGCAGCTATGTTTATCTTAAGGCAAGATTCTTTTTTGTTGTTGTTTTTTTACTTAAAAAATTATTTCTCTGATGTATTTTCCCCCCACTGGGAAAAATTTGAAGCCTGAAAAACTTAAGGTCAGTTAGAGGCTTTAAACCTTGGAATAACTGAAAGCGTACTAATTCGGGCTGTCTAAATGCTCTTTCAGAATGTATTAGCTGTTCTTTAAGCCACTTACTGAAGAAACTAATGTCACTCATTACCAAAACTGAATCTTTGTTAAGTGCCTAAGGGTACATGGAACAGAAAGGAAGGCACTAATTGGAGTATAGAGATCAGGGAATTGAACAGTTATGTAAAATAGGAAATTCAGTTTTTCAAAACCGTGTCCTTCAGCTGCTGTTCTATAATGAGTGCAAATTAGATGGATAGGTGCATTTCATAAAACAGAACTACAGTGTCTGTGTTTGGAAGCAAACGAGCACGGGAAGTGGAGGTTCTGTGAGTGGTCTCCCTCACACATACCTGACAAGGTGCCATCAGAGACCTGGGGACACTGGGAACTGTGCCCTCATCCTTGACCCCACTCTTGGGTAGAAATAATTTGATCTGAGCTTAAAAAACTAACTGTACCTTTCTTTAATTTACATAATGCTACAGCAGAATTAGGCTTCAAAAACCATATTATAATCAAATGGGAAATTTTAACCGATTTTTATAAGATTAGTTTTCATTAGGTCCCTTCTTCTCTCTGCACTCAGTGAGAGCTGTATAGTACTTCACCATTTTCAAAGACCTTTTACATTTAAAATTTTATTCTCATAACAAAGAATTTGACAGATCAAACATTTGTCAGCATGTTTATTTTAAGATGCAGAAACTGAGTTTCAGAGAAATCGGATTATTGGATGAAGACATATGCAACAAAGAAGTTTTAAAATCCCCAACTGACACCCTTTCAACTGACAAACTTTACAAAGACAAACTAGTAAGCTTGTTATAGTTTACCATAACAGACCACAGATGCACACGGTACTATTCCTGCCCATCCCCTTTAGCAACTGAACAAGGGATTGTATAAACACAACAACTTTCTTTGGATGTGTGATTTGAATGTGGCTTGAAAAAAGTTAACAAGGAGACCTGAGTTGTCTTCTACAGTAGGTCCTCCGTGAACACCGTTGACTGACAGAGCTGCAAAAATAGTAATTCAGCCAAGTAAGAAGAACATTCAGCGAAGGTCCTTACCTTGTAAGGGGAACCAAAACAGCAAGCTGAGCACTCCCCACCACATGTCGGCTGTGCTGAAGGGACTCCGACAGCTTCCTGTAGATTCTGAAGTAAATGCAGGTTTTTGAAGGGAGGAGGCAATGGCTCTGTGACCTCACACGTGTCAACTCCTCCACCTGCTCTGAGAGTCCCCTGCTAGTTAGCTGCCCCCAAATACCTCTCGGTGGAACATTTTGGGGACCACAAGTGTCATATCCATTTTGGAGAGGTGCGAATGATGTGTAGATGACAAAAATTACTCCACCACAAGTGGGTAGTGCTGGTAAGTCAGCTACCTATGAGACTTCAGGGGAAGAGAAATGGTGGGAAAGAGTAAAATGTCCCTGTCTAGTGAAGCCATCTTTATTTTCTTCTTTATTAGGTAATTATAACTAGGTAATTTTTGCCCAAGCTTCATGAATGTTTTATACTTCTACCTTGGACAACAAATTTGTAATGGTTACTAGGGGGCATATTCATTCATTCGTCCACATTTATTCACTTATCCATCCTTCCATCTGCCTGTTAATCTACCTATCCACCACCCATCTATCCACTCACCCCTTCTTCCATCTGCCAACTTAGTCAAACATCTCTAAGACATGATCAAATGTGGGACACAAATTCCTTGTGTTTTAGAAGAATAGGATCTGGTGAGGGACAAAATATGCAAATAAGTCATTTTTTTGGTCACTTCTCATTAACTGAGATAGATTTTACTTCATTTTTTTCATTTGAAATAGATAATCAATAAACGATTTAATGAAAGAATGAATGGACTCTCCATTTGAGATGTAAACATTGTTTTTAAATTCTGAAGTCCCAAAGGACATTTGATATATTGTTTCCAGAACACTAAAAAAAAATCTTACTGTTATGTTTTAAATGTGGAATGTCCCCGACAGGCACTTGTGTTTAGACAGTGGTTCTCAGCTGTTTGGGGAGGTTGTGGAACCTTTGGATGATGATGCTCAGCTGGTCAACATAGGCCTTTGGGAATAGAGCATTGGGGTTACAGGCATCTCTGAGTGTGGTATAGCTTTCTGTTTCCCAGCCTGTCATGATGTGTACAAATAGCCACCACACACTGCTACCACTACTGATGGTACCACCACAGTCACCATGCCTTCCCAGCTAAGGTGGACTGTGTGGCTGAAGCCATGAGCCAAAGTAATCTCCTTTCTTATGATACATCTGTCAGGTTTTAGTTTACTTGTTTGTTTTCTGTCACAGTGTTGAGAAAAGAAACTAACATAAATTGGTACCAATAAGTATAGTCACCATTGTGACAAACCTGACCACATGCTTCTTGCGCCTTTGGAATTGGTTTGCAGGAGGAATGTGGAAGACTTCGAAGCTGCCAGTTAGAGAAGATCTAGAATGTGGTAAGGAGAGCTTAATGGGGCATTGTAGTGGGAGTACAAAAGACCAGACTGTCAATATGGACCTTGAAGACTGTGTTCACGAGGTTTCAGAGGGGAACAAGGACTCTGTCAGGAATTAGACTAGAGGCTATTCATGTTACATTCTGGCAAAGAATCTGATTCTACTCCATCCATGTCCTGAGCATTTGAGTGAGGCTAAATTCAAAAGAAATGGACTAGTCACAAATAGCCAAAGTGTAGAGATCAAGAGTCTGCTGAATGCTGGTCCATGGACAGGACCCCTTTTATTAAACTTCTCCTACTCAAGGCCCAGGGACCATCTCAGAAGAGGGGGCAGAAAGATTGTAAGAGCCAGGGAGGAGGTACATGACCATAGGGAAAGAGTCCTACAAGCTCCTGAGAACCTGCTCATATGATTCTATGACATAGGTGACAGCATACATAAGTCCCATGCAAACTCAGGCAGACAATAACCCAGCATAGAACAGGGAAAATGAACAGCAGACCTCAATCTTTTCTGAAGGGATGTTGGCAACTGATAGCTGCTAGATAAAGAAGAGATGATCTTCCTAAAACAAGGGACTCTAGATAGGCTGACTAGATTTAGTGGACAGACTTGCACTAGGGAATGGTTGGGGACACTGAGAACCCAGTGGGCCTTAACGGGGATGACTGATTATATGGGCTCCAGAGGGAGTAGTAGGCTGTGGGTGGGTGCCAGTGGCGATGGGGGTATAAAGATGATTAAGATCGTTTGAGCTATTCTGTATGAAGTACACAAAAAATTCAATAAAAAATTTAAAAAAAGAAAATTTCAAGACAGCTAGCATTGTGGCATAGTTTACTCATTGCCTTCAGCCTGATATGTAGTGAGAACACAGAGAAAAGTAGAGTAGAGGGATCTGAAAACACGTAATTGGAGGCATTAGTACATTTGAAGCTTTGGCAAGACAGATGTGAATTAAAATGGCTGCAATTGTTAAAGTGACCAGCACCATTGATGAAAAACTTTCATAGTACACTGGGGCACCAAGAAAGGCGCCTCAGGCTGAGGCTCCTCTTACCAAAGACTCCAAGGAGTGAAAATAAAATGCATGTGACTTTATTTTAAAAGGGCAGTGTCTGAGAAGATCAGGCCCCTGGCTGTCTTGCATGAACAGGGCTGGCTAGGGAAGTGTTTTTCCCAGTTCAGCCTACAGGTACTTCAGAGGTCCCTGCAGCTTTGAGTCAAAGGGATCTAGCCACATCTTGAGCTGGAAATAGTACTTGTCGTCTTCCACATGGTGCTAGTTTTACAGGCATGCAGAATGTGGGAGCTATCCAACCATGGAGGCTTGAACCAAGGTTCCAGAGAAAAGTTTATGAGGCCAGGCAATATATATCAGGGTTGGGTTCCCAGCAGGGAGCCAATGCATGCAGCTGTGAGGGTGATGTTCAGGGTGCAGTGGATCTCCTAGGGTGTCGAAGACACTAAGAACATGGAAGTTCTGCCAAGGAAGCTGTAGATATAGCCCAAGAGAGAGGTCATGTGTGCTTTAAGCCATGGGGATAGAGCAGTGGGGCCAACAAAATGTATTGGAGAGGATGAGGCCAGCAAAAACCTTGGATACAAGGCTTAGTGCTGCAGGACTTTTCATTTGTCCTGTGGGTGTTGGCTTTGCTTTGCTGGTCACTCTTTGCTGTTCTCTATTCTTCCCTTTGGAATAGAGTATTTACTCCTGTCATTGCATACTGGAAAGACATTACTTGATTTTTTAAAAAAAAAATCATACAGAGACTCACAATTAAGAGTTTGCCTTGAGTCTTAGAAGAGACTTTGGTCTTTTGAGCAATGGTAAGACTGTTAAGACTAGAATTTGAACTATACACACTTTGCATTACAAGATGGGCATAGACTGATGGGTTCCAGAGAAGAAATGTTAACATTTGAATACTTGGTCTCCATCTGGTTTCACTGTTTTGTAACAAGATGTGTGACTGGTGGACATGGGTCACTGGGGGTTCTTGATAGTTATCTTCCCTCCGGTTCTGGCCTGCTTCATCTGCTCCTGGTCTTCTGCCATGGGAAGCAACAACAGCCACACACCTGGGCAGCTCCTGCTGCCATGCCATCTCTGCATGATGGGCCAGCCCTTCTGAAACCATGAGCCAAAATGAACCTTTCTTCCCAAGAGTTGCTTCTGTCAGGTATTTTGTCACAGCAACAACAATGACAAAAAACCAATGAATATACATATTTGACTTAAATTTAATTTGGGTATGGGGCTAGAAAGTTGGCTCTGTAGTTAAGAGTACTGCTCTTGCAGAGGACCTAGGATCTGTTTACAGCACCCATATCAGGCAGCTCACCTGTAACCACCTGTAACTCCAATTCAGGGGAATCTGATCTCTGGCCTCTGCAGGCACCTGCACACACATGGTACACATAAATTCATGCAGGCATACACACACATAAATAAAAACAAATCTTAAAATATTTTCTTCAGGCAGTGGTGAGTGTAACTTATTTACCAATGGGTATGATATTCAACTGGTTAAAAACCTTGTCTATGGGGCTGGAGAGGGGGCTCAGTGGTTAAGAGCGCATACTGCTCTTGCAGAGGACCTGGGTTCAGTTCCTAGTATCCATGTTAGACTGCTCACAACTGCCTGTGACTCCAGCTCCAGGAGATCTGATGCCCACTGCTGGACTTCGTAGGCAACTGCATTCACACGCATACACACACGCACACACACACACACACACACACACACACACACGCACACACACACAATTAAAAATAAAGCAAAAATGTTAAAAAAAAATAACACAAAAAAACCTCATCTAATTTCATGATAGTTCATTAGTCTCAGAGATTAAGAACACTCCCTGGAGGAAATGCTGCAGGGTAGGCTGGTGGATGACATGTCCTTGTGGTTTATAAAAGTCCTTCCTACTCACTCATTAAACTCCATTTCAACCTGCAGCCCACAAGTGCCCAATGGGGGAGAGCTACAGAGTAGGACTGCTCAGTGGGTGGAGAGAAAGGATGAGGTTGGGCCATGGTGGTCAAGGAATGACTTTCAACTGTTTTCTAATGGAAATTATATGCTGACCACCTTGTAGGTGGGAGGCCTCACAACTGTGAATGAGAAGAAGTAGTTTCCCCCCTACTTTTCTGAGTTCTTAGCTGATACCTAAAGACAAAAGACAGACTATTGAGAGAAAAATAAACAGTAAGTTTGCCTTCATGTATTCTATACATGCATGGGAGATATCCAGAGACTGAGACATTCTCAAAAAGGTGGCTTAGAGCTTTGAACAAGACAGCATTTTCAACACAGAACAATGGAACTTTAGAGAAGTTACAAAACAGAATAAAAGGACCTTGAGTCTCAAAGCACAGCAAGTTATGGCAAGGCAAATATGTGGGGAACGAATAGTTTAAAAGGGCTGGTTAGTGAAGCTTGTTAGGAGATTCCTCTGGTGCCCTTTGGAGGCTGATAAGGACCCAAAATTGTCTCCAGTGATCAACCTGTGTCCTCAGGAGCCAGAAGAGGAAGGATACCTTAATACATGTATGTCCTATTTTTTGGCAAATAGAGGGAGGGCAGACAGTATTTATCTACTTGTTTCTTTGTTTATTATCATTACTTAAAA